CCAAACATTTAGAGAAGAGTTAACACCTATCCTCAAACTATTCCAAAAAATTTGCAGAGAAAGCAATGCTTCTGAACTCATTCTATGAAGCCAGCATCACCCTGATACCAAAAGCAAAGATATCACAAAAAAAGAAAGAAAAGTATAGGCCAATATCACTGATGAACATAGATGCAAAGATCCTCAACCAAATACTAGCAAATCAAATCCAACAATACATTAAAAGGATTATACACCATGATCAAATGGGGTTTATCCCAGGGATGCAAGGATGGGTCAGTATCTACAAATCAATGTGTTACATCACATTAACAAATTAAAGCATAAAAATCATATAATCATCTTAATAGATGCAGAAAAAGCTTTTGACAAAATTCAACATCCATTTATGATAAAAACTCTCCACAATGGGTATAAGAATATACTTTGATGTAATGCCATATATGATAAGCCCACAAATAACATCACAGTCAACAGTGAAAAGCTGAAAGCACTTCCTCTAAGATCAGAAACAAGACAAGGATGCCCACTGTCACCAGTTTTATTCAACAATAGTATTGGAAGTTCTTGCCACAATAATCAGAAAAGAAAAATAAAGAAAAACACCAAAATTGGAAAGGAAGAAGTAAAATTGTCACTGATTGCAGATGGCATGATTAATGATTTTCCATATGTAGAAAATCCTACAGATGCCACCAAAAATCTACTAGAAATCATCAAATTCAGTAAAGATGCAGGATACAAAATTAAAATACAGAAATCTGCTGCATTTCTCTACACTAACAACAAACTATCAGAAAGAGAAATTAAGGAAATAATCCCATTTGTAGTCATATCAAAAGAATAAAATTCATAGGAATAAATCTACCTAAGGAGATAAAAAACCTGTACTTGGAAAACTAAGACACTGCTGAAAGAAACTGATTGAAGACAACACAAACAGATGGAAAGATATACCGTGTTCATGGGTTGGAAGAATACTATTAAAATGATCATACTACCCAAGGCAATCTATAAGGTCAGTGCAATCCCAATCAAAATACTAATGACATTTTTTTCACAGAACTAGAACAAATAATTCTAAAATCTGTATGGAAACACAAAGACCCCAAATAGCCAAAACAATCTTGAGAAAGAAGAACAAAGCTGGACGTATCACGCTCTGTGACTTCAGACTATACTACAAAGCTACAGTAATCAAAGCAGTATGGTACTGGCACAAAAACATTCACATTGATCAACAGAAAAGAAGAGAGAGCTCAGAAATAGACCCATACATTTACAGTCAATTAATCTATGACAAAGGAGGCAAGAATATACAGTGGGGAAAAAAACAGTCTCTTCAATAAGTGGTTCTGGGAAAACTGGACAGCTATATGTAAAAGAATGAGATTAGACCACTTTCTCACACCATACAAAAATAAACTCAAAACGGACTAAAGATCTAAATGTAAGATCGGAAACCATAAAGCTAGAAGGAAACATAGAACACTCTTTGATATAAATCATAGCAATGTATTTTTTAAATCTTTTGCCAAGGGCCAAGGAAATAAAAGTAAAAATAAACAAGTGGGACTTATTTAAATTTAAAAGCTTTTGCACAGCAAAAAATACCATTGACAAAACAGAAAAACAACTTACTGAATGGGAGAAAATATTTGCAAATTATATGATTGATAAGGGGTTAATACCCAAAATTTATAAACAGCTTGTATAACTCAATACTTTAAAAAAAATATTTATTTATTTATTTGGCTGCGCCAGGTCTCAGTTGCAGCATGCGAGATCTTCATTGCCACGTGCAAGATCTTCGTTGTGGCATAGGGGATCTTTCAGTTGCGGCATCCGGGATCTAGTTCCCTAGCCAGGGATCGAACCCAGGCCCCCTGCATTGGGAGCACGGAGTCTTAACCACCGGACCACTTAGGGAAGTCCCATAACTCAATATTTTTTTAAAAAACAATTTAAAAATGAGCAGAAGACCTGAATAGACATTTTTCCAAAGAAGACAAATGTTGGCCAACAGGCACATGAAGAGATGCTCAACATCACTAATCATCAGAGAAATTCAAATAAAAACCATGATGAGTTATCACCTCACACTTTTCAGAATGGCTAGCATCAAGAAGACCACAAATAACAAATGTTGGTGAGGAGGTGGAGAAAAGGTAACCATTGTACGCTGTTGTTGGGAAAGTAAATTAGTGCAGCCAATTGGTGGAAACAGTGTGGAGGTTCCTCAAAAAACTGAAAATAAAACCACCGTATGATCCAGCGATTCCACTCCTGGGCATATATCCAAAGAAAATGAAACACTAATTTGAGAAGATGCAAGCGCCCCAATGTTCATAGCAGCATTATTTACAATAGCCAAGATATGGAAGCAACCTAAGTGTCTATCAACAGATGAATGGATAAATAAGTGTGGTGTACATATATACAATGGAAAACTACTCAGCCATAAAAAAGAATGAAATTTTGCCATTTGCAACAGTGTGGATGGACCTGGAGGGTATTATGTTTAGTGAAATAAGTCAGACGGACTTCCCTGCTGGCACAGTGGTTAAGAATCCACCTGCCAGTGCAGGGGACATGGGTTTGAGCCCTGGTCCGGGAAGATCCCAGATGCTGCGGAGCGACTAAACCCATGCGCCCCAACTACTGAGCCTGCGCTTTGGACCCCGCGAGCCACAACTACTGAACCCACACGCCACAACTACTGAAGCCCACGCGCCTAGAGCCCGTGCTCCCAACAAGAGAAGCCACCACAATGAGAAACCTGCAAACCCCAACAGAGAGTAGCCCCCGCTCGCTGCAACTAGAGAAAGCCCGTGCGCAGCAACAAAGACCCAACACAGCCAAAAATAAACAGAGAAAGACAAATACTCTATGTTATTACTTATATGTGGAGTCTAAAAAATACAGCTAGTGAATATAATAGAAATGAAGCACTCACAGATATAGAGAACAAACTAGTGGTTCCAAGTGGGAGAGGGAAGTGTGGAGGGGCAAGATAGGGGTGGGGGATTAAGAGGTACAAACTACTATGTATAAAATAAATAAGCTACAAAAATTTAGTGTGTAACACAGGGAATATAGCCAATATTTTATAATAATTATAAATGGAATATAACCTGTAAAATTGTGAATCACTGTGTTGTACATCTGAAACTTGTATAATTTTGTACCTTAATTGTACCTCAGTTTAAAAAAAGAATAAGCCTTCAAGGATTGTACAGCACAGGGAATATAGCCAATATTTTATAATTTTAAGTGGAGTATAATCTACTTAAAAATTTGAATCATTGTGTTGTACACCTGAAACTAGTAACTCAACTATATACATCAATAATAATAATAAATTTAAAAGATGGCAAGTGACTATTCAACAAGTAGTTTGAAGGCATCTGGCTATCCACCTAAATTGTAAAATAACACCACCTCCAAATTAAAATTATTCATGGGCTAAAAATAAACCCTCATAAGAGTTAAGCATAAAAAGAAAACTATAAAGTTATTTTTATAATTTGGCCCTCCTAAGCAATACACAAAATCCAGAAACAATAAAAGATTGATAATTTTAGCCTTATGGAAAATTAAAATGGGGAGGGAAAAGGGAATGGGCAGGCTGGTGGAAAACAGTAATGTTTTCTACTCTGTGTGTTTTGAATCTTATACAATGAGAACTTACTGGGGACAACGTGGCTTACAAGACTAAAGAAAATGGAAAATTTTGTGAGTAGTTAACTTCGTGCCATGGCTTTTCATCCATTGCTCACCCAGTATTGAGCTCCTCTATGTGTACTTGGACTGTGTGGAGGTTAATAAAAGACCCGCCACCTAGGGCCCGCTATCTGTGCAATGGTTGTCCAAGAAGGAAAAGCTCACTCAGTTCAGCTTCCTGGAGTGGGTGGGATTTGATCTGGCCCTTGCAAACTGGGGAGAAGATAAGGGTCTTCCAGGCTAGGGAGACTGAGGTCGGCATCCCCACATGCCCAGCTGCTTGGCACCCACGCTGGGCTGGGCCTCCTTGAAGTGGGCGAGTTTTGCACAGGCCTCCCCTGTGTCGGGAACAGTAGTGGAGGAAGTGGTGAGAGTGGGTCAGAGTCAGGTTTGGAGATTGGCACACCAAGCCTGAGAGAAGTTCAAAGGGTTGAGAGAATGAATGCTACCTGGGCTGGGAGCAGTGAAGTGACTGGAGGCCCTGCTTATCCAGCCTCTCAGGTGTGGATGGGGTGGTAGAGTTTACTTAAGAGGCCGACTGGCTAACACCACAGGATTAGAAGAGATGCTGAGTCAGGGGCATGTGTGCAGAGCAGGCCTCAGGGGATCACAGCCCTGAGGTGGGGCCACCTCTCAGTTCTCACCACACCCTGGACAGGAGTCCTCAACACAGACCCGTGGCTCTAAGCTTGGGCTCACCAAGCTACTCTCACTCCAGATGCAAGCTCAGCACAGGATAAGACAGGACACAAAGCCTTCTGATCACTTGTCACTGCTTACAGCAGCCTGCTGGTCAATTTTCATTCTGTAAACGAACATACACGGGGAAGCAATTTACAGCAACACTTTGTGGGGAAAGATGGCTTGTGTCCGAGAGGTGGGAGTGGTAAGAAGAGGTCAGGTGGTCAGGATGGGAAGCCTTCAGAATTTCCTGATGGGCTGGAGATGCGTGAAGAGTCACAGGTGACTATGCACCTTTGGCCTTCGCAGCTAGAAACCAGTTGCCCTCAGCTGTGGGAAGGAAGGCTGCAGATGGGGCAGAGTTCCGTAGGCAAGCCACCAGTCAAGCTGTGCCTGCCTCTTAGGTTGCTCCCCTGCTAGTTCTCCTGCTTACAGGTCTTCCTCTTCCCAAGTTCCACCACTTCCCTACCCCTTAGCTGGGGGTGAGGGGGGGTGTCAGTGCCTTCTTCCTAAGGAGAAACCCAGGGGGGGCCCTCCCTCCCATGGGAAGGATCATCTCAGGTCCCCCTGTGGCGTCTCTTCCCTTCCCCCTCCCACCCTTCCCCAGAGCCTGCCCAGGGTTGGTACCCACAGGCAGGGCTGGGAAGGGAACCTGAGCCACCAGCCTGCTCACACTAAAGCACAGCCTGGGGACAGGGAAAACCTTGTCACTGTCACTTTAAGGCTCCTGAGGGAGGGGGTCCTCAACCCTGGATTCACCCCCCTGAGGAAGACAGAGAAGGAAGTGGGGCAGGTTTGCGGAGAGCACCAAGCAGCGCTCCTAGGGCCCGCTCACACATAAAAACTTCCTGCGATGAGACCGGAAACACAGGTGCTGTCCCCAGCACGGCAGCCCCCAGAGCCTGGGCCAGAGGGGAGCCATGGACAGGCCCCGGGCCCTGGGCCTGCTCTTGGCGCTGCTGACTCTCTGCATCACTGCTGGTGAGTGGGGGCCAGAGAGATGCAGAGGCCATGGGGATGGGGCAGAGACCCAGGTCTGGGTCCTAGCTCCTGTGCCCATATCTCACAGGGACTCCTGAGGTGTGGGTGCAGGTTCAGATGGAGGCCACCAAGTCCCCGTCCTTCACTGTCCGCTGTGGATTCCTGGGATCTGGCTCTATCTCCCTGGTCACTGTAAGCTACGGGGGCCCTGATGGTGCCGGAGGGACCACGCTGGCGGTGTTGCACCCAAAGTTCGGCACTCAGCACTGGAACCCTGCCTGCCGGGCCCGCTGGGAAACCAGAACCAGCATCTCCCTCACCTTGGAAGGGTCCGAGGGGAGAAGCTCCAGTCCCAACACCACCTTCTGCTGCAAGTTTACTTCCTTCCCTGAGGGCTCCCAGGAGGCCTGTGGGAACATCTCCCTCAGCCCAGACCAAGGTGGGGCTGATGAGGAGAAGGGGCCCCGGGAGGACAGGGAGGGACTTGGGGGTGCCAGGCACCTAACCGGTATGTCTCTCTCTGTGCACAGGGCTCCCTGCTCCTGCTCCTACTCCAGCCACCATGCTGCGAGCTGACCTGGCTGGGATCTTGGGGGTTTCGGGGGTCCTTCTCTTTGGCTGCGTCTACCTCCTCTACCTCCTGCGTCGGCAAAGGCACTGGTGAGACAGAGCCTCTGCTGATCCAAATCCCCACGGCACTGGGCCAGCCACATGCTTTGCCTCTGACCCTCCTAACTCTCTCCCAGGTCTGTCATGAAGCTTCAGCCACCCAGCCACAGCAGCCCCCAGACACAGAGGAGAGCAAGTGTGAGGGTCAGGGGATGGCTTTGGAGAGGGGAATGGAGGGGGCTGGAGGTGGGGAGCCACGAGGTGGAGCCTCACTTGAGCCTCCTTCCCCGTCTCCCCTGCAGGCAGCCGGCCAAGCCTCCCTGACCTCTCTCCACATCCCCTATGCCACCATCAACACCAGCTACTTCAGCCCAGCAACTCTGCGCCGGGTCCTCCCACCCCAGCCCCTACCCAGGTGGGCGCCACTTCCCAGCCAGAGCCCCGTCCCCTGGGCACCCCTGCCGGCCTCCACTCGCAGCAGCTTCATCTCTGTTGAGAACCGACTCTACGCTCAAGCAGAAAAGGGGCCTCTCCACACCGGCACTGACCTCATCCCGCTCCCGGACTGTCTGGGGTGCAGAGCCATGGAGGGGCGTTAGGAGTTTGATGAGAGGGACCCCAAGTCCACTCTGCCTTTCTCCTCTCCTGGGCCCCTGGAACCCCCTTCTGTTGGGTATGTGTCCTGGTGGCCCACTGTCTTTGCACAGCTTGTTTCATTCTCAGGCTTCCAGTAAGTGTCTCCACACATACCCCTCCAGGGCCCACTTGCTGTGGATGTGATCAGCACGAGTGCACGTGTGGGCGCACGTTTATGTATGTGAAGTGACAAAACCCCATCCCGGGTCATTTCCTGTTTTCAAGTCCCCAGCCCTCCCAGATGAGGTTGATAACTAAACCAACAAGAATGGTTTCTCTGACCTGGGCTTTGGCTGGGCCTTTTTTTCTTTGTGTGGGGGGGTGGTGGTTAAGATGTTAGAGGGGTTTCAACCCCCTGGGATGCAGGGGCCAGTTTAGACCTGGAGGGGGAGGGTGCCTCAGCGATCAGAGATCGCTCCTCTGCCTGACAAGGGACAGGGGTGTTCCTGGCCCTGAAGACCTTGCTGAGGGATGCCAGGTGGGAAGACAGGATTGGGGGTCTGGTGGCCCCCAGACAGGATGACCCATATTCAAATCCCACTATGTCCTAGGACAGCAGCAAGGGCTTCTGGAGCTTCAACCCAGAAAAGTCCCTGGGACAGGGGCTCCCTGAGATGGCCTGGGGGTGGGGCCCTGATGCCCTCCATCCACAGAGTGGACATTCAGAGGCAGGGGACCCACCTCAGATCTGCCCACAGTGGCTTCCGCCGGCTCCCCTCCTGTTACTAGGGCACCAGGACTACTCCCCACTGGCCAGTCAGGGGGAGACAGAGGCCCACTCAGACACAGGGACTGAGCCCATGCTCCCCAGCCCACTCATCTTCCCATCCGGGAGCAGCCCTCCTTCTGTAAACAGGCCCAGCAGCCTGGGCCTCATCGCACCTTTGCCACATGAGACAACATGGTGAGAGAGCTCTGTAAGCTGCAAGGCTCCACAGAACGTGATGGATTCCGGTGACAGGGGGAGGCCTGGGCCTGGAACCAGGCTAAGGCAGCACCCAACCAGGGTGAATACTGGGGGGTGGGGGGTGTTGGGGGAGACAGCTGTCACTCAGCCCCTTCCTTGGTCCTGCATGTGGAAAGTCCCAGGCAGTGCCACCTGCTATCCCAGGAACCATTCCTTCTGCCTGGCTCAGGGAGGGCCTGCCCAGAGGCTATGTTCAACCACAGAATCTTCCAGAAACCCAGCTTACTATTGCAGGCATTGTTCAGACATGGTGCTCTCAGAACCCATCCCCATCAAGCCACCAGCTCTACACCACGCAGGAGAGAGGGTGAACCAGACAGGGTGAGGGGGTGGCTAAGGGTCATCAGGCCTGCCTTCCTCAGCCCGTGGGCATCATCATCTTCTGAGGAGCCCTCAGCACTGGCCTGGGCAGCTCAGTAGTCCCTGCAGGGCTGGGGGTTCAAGGGAGAGAGGTAGGGCTGCTGCAGAAGTCCCCGAGGAAGGTAGAGAGATGTAAGGGAGGGGGTAGTTCAGGGTCAGGCAGCCTTGGGACCACGTCAAGACCAAGCACAGGGGTGTGTGGGCAACGGGGCTCAGGGGAGGCCTTGGAGGAAGCCTCACTTCCCTAGGAGGAGACTATTCATGGGACGGGGTGGGGGGCGGCTCTAGGGCTCCCAGGCCCTCAGCCTGGCCACTTGCCCATCAGAGCGTCAGGGAAGAGGCCCCACTCCATCCCCCGCCCCCGCCCCAACCCCGGGCCTGAGCCCACCTTCCACAAGCTCAGGAAGCCACAGCCCAGCCTGGTCCTGCACTACATGAAACCAAAATCCTCGGGACCCAGGAAGTCTCCACAGCTGGCCTGACCCCCACTGCCCAGTCCCAAGTGCCAGAACCAGCAGCAGTGAAGGGACCAGCTGAGAGAGCCAAGTTGTGGCCCTGCACCTGGAGGTGTGGCTGCACACGGCCCCCCAGAGCAGCATCCAGGCCCCACCTCAGAACCCAGTCGTGGAGATCATGCTCTGCTATTCCTTCATTCAACACATGGGGAAACTGAGGCCCAAGAGGGAGAGAACTGGCCCAAGGACACAGGACTGAACCAGCCCCAGCACCTCCATGAGGCATCCAGGACACGCCCTCAGCCAGAATCCTTCAAAAGCCTTGTGCTCTGAGCTGACCTGGCTTGGAATCCCAGGGGCCACTCCCCCGCTGTGGGACCCTGAGTGGTTTACTTAGTCTCTTAAGAGACTCACTTTGCTCCTCACATAAGGGGAGGTAAGGCCTGAGGGGAGTGTGGAACTGTAAACCAGGACCAAGTACTAAGCAGCCTGACACGAAGTATCTTATTTACTACTTTGAAAGCACCTACCGCTTCGGAGTGTTATAAGCCCACTTAACAGAGCCCAGGGTCACGCAGCTGGGAGGCAGAGATGTTTTTAGTGGGGAGGAGGGGAGGCGTGGCGCCACCAACCCGCCCCCCACCCCCTCTAAAGGGCCCCACTGCAGCTGGCCCAGGAGCCCACCCCGGAGCCCGGGACCCGAGCTCAACGCTCCCCAGACCAGCCTCAGGACCCTCCCTCCCCGTGGCTCCCCACAGCCCCCGTTAGCTGCTCCTCCCTCCCCACCCCACAGCGGGTCCAGCAGGGGGTCCCTGCTAACGAACGCGCCCACCCCAGTCTTCTGCCCCTCTGCGGCCCCGGAGACCTCCTTCTGCCGTCCAGTCCGCACCCACACTCAGGCTCGCCCCCTGGCCCGACCCTGACACAGTCTCCACTGCTAGCCCGCCGGAGCCCTCTGCCCCACCCGGGTCCCGCCGCCTGTCCCCGTGGCCTGAAGCTCCCCATCTGCGCCCCCGCCCGGCCTCCGCAGACCAGCGCCTGCTCCCACGGTAGCCCGCGACGGTCGGCTTTTCTAGGCTTAGGACTCTCGGCTGCCACTGCCCAGTCGTGATGCGCGCCCACACGGAGCGCGGGGCCCTAGGCATCACGACGACCACCCGCCTGGTGTGTGACCTCGGGTCGCCTGTGCGTCTGGGGAGCCTCACACCCTTGCTGGGTTGGCTGCAGAGGTGGGGCAACGTCACGGCCTCGCCCCCAGTCGGGGCGCCCACCAGCTGGGGCTGACCTTAATGGTGAACGGAGGCGCCTGGGACCTAGGGAGAAGAAATCGGTCCCAGGGGTGTCTGAGGGCTCCGCCAGCAGGACGCAGAAGGAAGGGCTGGGCAGGATGTGCTGGGGGCTGGAACGGGCCAGAGTTGAGGGGCCAGGAGAGCCTCTTGCCTCCCTTGCCAGCACGGGGACACAAAAAGCATAGGACGCTAGGTCTGTTGGCCCAGCCATGGGCAGGAGCTCTCACCCTCAGGTTCCACTCAAACCTTGGTGGGGGTGGGGGAGTAGTGACACCTGGAATTTCCATAACTGGGCCCTCAAACAGCTTCATTTCAGCATCCATGAAGTGGGTCAGAAAGCTATTTGGATAAAAGTAAATAAACAGACATTACAGACTTTAAAAGAGAAAGATCAGGGTGCTCTGAGGAGTAGTAGGCCTCTCTGAGATGACCTTTTTTTCCCCAATATTTTTTATTGCGGCAAAATACACATAGAAATGGTTAAGGTGGTAAATTTTAAGGGACAAAAATTGAAATACAGTTGAGGAACAATATTATGGTAATTCCAGGTGTACTGCATAGTGATTAGACATTTGCATACATTATGAAATCACCACAATTAAGTCTAGTAACCATCTGTCTCCAAAGTTATTACAATATTATTGACCCTATTCCTTATGCTGTGTATTACATCCCATGACTTATTTTATAACTGTAGGTTTGTACCTCTTAATCCCCTTCACCTATTTTGCCCCCACCATCCCCTTCTGGTAATCACCTATTTGTTCTCTATCTATGAATCTGTTTTCTTATTTTTTTAAGATTCTCCATATAAAGGGGATCATACAGTATTTGACTTTTTCTGACTTATTTCACTTAGTATAATACCATCTAGATCCACCCATTTTGTCACAAATAGAAAATTTTCATTTTTTTTGAAATGGCTGAGTAATATTCCATTGTGTGTATATATATATATATATATATATATATATATATATATATATATATATATATATAT